TGGAATTTGTCAACTAGTGCATAAATATTTCAATCATCCAATCATATGAACAAGAAATTCCTGATTTTTAATACTCAGCACCTGATTGGGTGTTAAAATTAAATGCAAGTTCACTTGACTCAGTGAAAAATGGATTCCTTTAGTGAATCACCCCCAATAAGTCATCCATCATTCACTTCGATCAAAAGTTGCTTTGAGCTTTCTTTGAAGCAGTTTGAACATTCAAGTCAGGCATTGCTATATTACTTAATTTCATAATCATTAAATGAAAGACAATATTATTGCAACCTGATTTATGTGTGTCTGTAAATTGTATATTGACCGCAGTGCTTTTGTGGGTTCACAGAAGATCCAGTGCATTCTGTAAAATTGGATGAGCTTATATAATAAAATAACATGATTTTGAAAAAAAATCGTTTGGTCTAAGATTGTAAAGATGGCCAGATACATTGGGGTTGATTTACTGAAGGCAAATAGGCTGTTCACTTTGCAAGAAAATTTGCACTTTGTAACGTAATATTCCCTCAGCTTAGGAATTGTGGTTAAAATTCACTATGCAAACAATACCCAATCATGATTAAATATAATAAAAAAACAGTATTTTTGTTTTCATGCTTTTGGACAATAGGAATCAGCAGAGCTTTAGCTCATTACCTAAGCTAAATTGAACATTTCCTTACAAAGTTAACAGCCTATTTGCCTTTAGTAAATTAACCCCATTAGTTTTAACCAATGGTTCTTACATTTTGCTTATTTGATTTTTTTTACAGCTTTTATCCTAAACTTAAAGTGAAACCTATGGGCAAAATAAAAAATAACATATATGATTCAATCCATCACTAGCAAAAACACAGTAATGTTTTATTGTATTACCTCTTCATCCTGCCAGTAGAGCTGTTACATCTTTACCCCCTGCAACAGGCCAATCTGCCTAATAAAAGTGTCAGTTACAGTCACAGAAAGTCTCAGTCTTAGCTGCTAAATTATGAAAATGTTTTTAATTAACAGACATGAATTGCTGCAATGGATTGGATAAAAGCACAGCTGTCTGTAATTCACACAGGGGGGTAACAATGCTCCTTCAGCTTTGGAAGCCAGACGTTTTGGGGTTTACACATACTTTTGCAGATTGTACAATCAAATTGTAATGCATGGGAAACATTTAATGGTGATTTTGGATGGAGGGAGTGGCACATTTGAACATCAGAACTACCCCCATTACCAATGCTCACCTGCCAATGATGGTGGTGCTTATATGACTTTGATCCTTTGTTTTCTTGGGTAGGAAACTCTTTCTGTGCAATAATATGTATCTCTGACTGCCAAAGTTCCTCTGGCAGAGCTGCTCCTTATCACACCCTAAGAAATTAGAAACAAACTTCACTTGCTATTTATATAACTATATAAATTCTTGAATGTTTTCTTCTTTACATCTTTTATCTGACTTAACAATAACAATATTCCTTAAGAATGCAAGATCAGTGGAATGCGAATAGAAAAATAATAATAACTGTTGTTTGTTTTTTCCACTTTTCTGCAATATTCTTTTAAATGCTTTTCTTACAAAATTACAGAACAGAAAAAAGAGTGTTTTTGAACTCTATCAGGCTAGAGCTTTAGTTATCTATCCTTCAAGGCCTTATCTATTTAGTACATTGTTTGTGTGAAAAGCACAATGTGCTATAAACAAGCTGAATTGAATCAATCAGTTTGATTCTAGTTTGGTTGGCTCAGCACTAATATTGGCCAGACCAAAACCTAATAAACTGTAATGAATCCATTTTGAAAGTCAGTCTTTGGAAGTTAAGTTTGTGAACCATGTTTGAAAGGTCTTTACTTTCTATGAGTCTATAGTTTTGGATGTTATAGAAATAGATTTTCTTGTAATATTAAATATATTTTTCCCACACAAAATAATTTAAATTAAAAAAATTACTGCAAACATTAAGCACCAGTTTAAAGAAGCAGATTTTTGTTGTAATCAAAAACATCTTTCATGAATTACAAAATTACACTTTAGGGGAAATTAGTTTTTACAGTTGTAGCTTTTGGTCAATTTTATTTTCCTTTTTTTATGTTTACACATTATAAACCAACATGTTATAGAATGTTACAAAGTACTTTCACTTAAGGGAAAATTATGGTTTTCTATTGTGCCTTTTGGTAAACTTTATTTTTCTTTTCTTACATTTACACATTTGTAAACCAATGTACTTTTATTCAGCCCTTATTTCCAAATATATATGGTATGTCTGAGCTGTGCATCTGTTGACTATCCTTGCATGGATCTTGCTAATAGGTTTGTAATCACAGCACTGCAGTAAAGCAGCAGTCAAATCCTGTGACCTACTGGCTGCAGAAAAAGTAAATGATAAATATTTACATGCAGTATTTAGCAATTAACCAGAATAAATATAAATTACAAGATTTTCAATGTTAATTTGTATTTCTGAACATAATACATAA